AAATAAATAAAATCTTTAAAAAAAAAAAAACAAAACACTCAAGTCTGGTTTATTATCATGAAAACAGTGATTTACAGCTAAGAAACAGCACTGAAGAAATCAGAAGGCACTGAAATATTAGAGGCTTTATGTTCTAAGAGAAAAGATGGCAATTTAAATATAGCAGCCCTTCTACTGCCTTTACTCAAAGGTCTCTGCTGTTAAAGGTCAAATAGACCTTTTCTCTCACTGCATTCTCTGTGAGTTTTCTCTAGTATTTATCAATAATTAGGATTAGTCTCTCTCCTTGGCATCTTTCAGTTACCCTCCACCCGTGATTGGTCTTTCCTTGCTTATTCAGTATCATCAGTAGAGAAGAAATAGGTATAATATATACAGAGAATGCCATGGTATTTAACGCTAACTAGCAGATTAGCTCCAAAGTCCTCCTCATCCTGTGCATATCTGACAACATGTCCTGTTCAACAGGAATGCTCTACCAGTGAACATCTAAATAGTTTGGAACTAAAACATGAAACTGACACTACCATCAGCATATGGAAGTTATACGAGTAGGAAAATGTGGGAAACCTGGAAATATTTAGTCCTAGTGTATTTTACCAAAATAGGGTTCTTTGTGAGAAGCTTCGAAAAGCTAAAGTGCTTTAGGAAACAGCTGTAAATATTTAAAACACTTTCTTATCAAAAAAATTTTTATTTATTTACTTGTCAGAGAGAGAGAGTGCGCGAGCGAGCACAAGCCGGGGATACTGCAGGCAGAGGGAGAAGAAGGCTCCCCACTGAGCAAGGAGCCCGACAGGGGCCTCCATCCCAGGACCCCGGGATCATGACCTGAGCCAAAGGCAGATGCTTAACAACTGAGCCACCCAGGTGCCCCCACAGTAATCATTATTAAACTCAGTGTATCAGATACATTATTTTCCTACAAAGTAGCTAACCAACTTCAACAACACAAAAATGAAGTGAAAGAGGATTAAAACATAACTTACGAAGGAAGGTCTTTGGCAGCTCTCAAGCCCCAGCCTTTCTTTTCTGTGAGTATGACTTCCACATCTGCGTGCTGTTTTCTCTGAAACCGTCTATTGGAACAATAATCCCCATTTGGACACCGAGAAGAACTGAAATGAGAAGAGAAAATTAATTCTTCAAAGCAGAATCTCTAATGACACATAGGATGTGGATAAAAACAAACAAATAACAACAACAACAAACGAGATACAACGGTGCCTGCCTGGGGGCAGAATAGGAAACAAGGCCCACCTGAGGAATGGAGAACAAAACAGCAGCAGATGAGTGGTAAGAAAAATGGGCTGCTGGAAGATGGAAGGGCAGGTTGTTGATCCATGAAGAGCTCTGAACGCCAGCTTAAATTTGAACCTGATCCTGATAACTACTCTAAGTTTGACTGTGGGAAACAGATGAGGAAAGGTATCTTATACTTCCTATCTCTTTAGCAAGGTTGAAAAGTCAAGTCAGAAAAACAGAGAGGCCACAGCAACAATGTCAAGTTTGGAGAATAGTGCTAACTCTGTGTCTCCTCTTCTTGTCATCTTGTCATCTCTACTTTCAGTTTAGATAAAGGAATACCAATGTGCTTTCTCTTTATTTTTCTGAGGTATGGTTTTATGCGCCGAACACTAGAACATGAGCAAAACCAAAAACTGAGTTTGAAAGAAAACACTTTATTAACACTAAAAACAAGGTATCTACACTATAAATCACCTTCATATTCTCTCCATGTTAAAAATGATACAATTTTTCATCAAATTGGTAAAAAAAATTAATCACACAGTTTTTAATGTAAAGATGCTATGGTTTATAAGAAAAATATAGAAGCAATGCCTCACAATAGAAGATGAATAATTATGAGTTAACTATAAATAGACCTATAAAGCAGCCTAGGGAAGATTTAGGTAGGTCTGTATGTGTAGCTCTGAACAGGTCTCCAAAACATATTTGTGTGTTCATGTGTGTTTGGGCTGGGGTGAGGGGGTAAAATTCAAAAAAGTACATATGGTAAAGATTTCATTTCTATACATAAAAAGTGGAAATATCTATGAATGTTGGTATAGGCATAAACAGTATCTGGAAGGACAAGAAATAGAGGGATTGGGGTTTGGAAGACATTTAAACTTTATGCACTTTTGAAATGCTAGGGTTTTATCTCATTTTATAGTAAAAGCTAAAAAATACCAACACTTACCTCTCAGGACATGAACGTTATAAGAGATAAAAGGTCACTATGTTACTATTAGGGCTACTTTACAGAGCACTGACAATGTATACTATAATGTACAACACAAGGGAAATTTATCTCCTTATAAACACTATTATACGTTGGAGATTTCATTGCTTATAAATACTCGACAAGAGATAGAAGAAGAAAGGTTAAATCTGACTCATTACTAATTCTTTCTACGATTTTGAGACATTTAATAGAATGACTGAGCAAAATCAGGGCATTTTAATTTACTTACCATTCAATCATGAGGAGACGATTAAGACAATCTTCCCCACATGCTATTTCACCTTGAGCTCTTTCATCTTTAGAAAGAGGTGTACACTCACACTGCATTCGCTTAATATCTCGATGGGATTTATTCTTCTTTCTATTAAGTAAAATTTCATAAGAATTGGTTTAAGAAATCTCCCGGCAATGATACAACATACACAATCAAATATGTGCAAAATCTCCTTAGTTTCACATTTAATGATTCTGGTTAAGTCAAACACTCAAAAAAGTCAAACATTCAAAACATTCAACATCTCCTCACTGGCATCTGTGAGACTGAAAACACTAAGACTTACATTGCAAAGAGAATTAGAGGCAATCTTTAGCCCCAGCAAATGGGAGGATAGGATAAGTTCAAGTCTATCATTTTGGACTCAGCCCTCATTTCGTAGTCCATTTCAGCTAAGCCTCAAATTCTGAGCAGTTTCAAGTGTTAACTGTCATATTTGTCTCAGAAGAAAATTAGGAAAACTTGTGAGAATCAAAAAGTGACATAGCTGATTAAAGTGAAGTTTAAGAATCAGTCCTCCTGGATGAGCAAATAATGGCTGAGGAAGAAAAGATGTATTTATTTAATTTATAAAATATAAATAGAGACTGAGAAAGAAAAGAAGTTGCTAAAAAAATAAATTAAAAAGAGGTTTTTTTTTTCTTTTAGAGAGCAAGCGAGCGAGCAAGCACATGTACACACAAGCAATGGGGGAGAAGCAAAGGGAGAGGGAGAGAATCTTAAGCAGGCTCCATGCCCAGCTCAGAGCTCAACGCAGGGCTCGATCTCACAATCCTGAGATCATGACGTGAGCCAATACCAAGAGTCAGACGATTAACAGACTGAGCCACCCAGGCACCCCTAAAAAATAAGACTTTTTAATTAAGAGTTTAACTCAATCTTTTAGAGAATCTTTCAGTAACACCACAATTCTAAAAATCTTGTTTAAAAGAAAATTGAATGATTAAAAAAAGAATGAAGCATAATTTACAGAACTGTATTACAGAATAATCAGAGGACTAAACTTTCTCAACACAGACTAACTGATTTGGGGATAAAAAGGGAAATGGTTCAAAATTGGGTTCATAAATACCTATGACAGAGTTTGCAAAGAAAAAGTGAAAATGTGATTATTTCCTGGCCTTTATGTTGAACTCTTTCTGACCCTTGTCAAAAAGAAAAAGAAAAAAAAAATCAAAGATGGTTGAAGATCTCCTTCTTGAGATTAGGGCAGTCTGAAATAAGTCAATCAGAGAACGACAAGTATCATATGATCTCACTGATATGAGGAATTTGAGAAACAAGACCGAGGATTATAGGGGAAGGGAGGGAAAAATGAAACAAGATGAAACCAGAGAGGGAGACAAACCATAAAAGACTCTTAATCTCAGGAAACAAACTGAGGGTTGCTGGAGTGG